CCCACCCACACACACCCACAGCCCCGCCCAGGGACCTGCCTGGGATCATGACGTGCAGCCCCTTGAGATGCTCGTTGGTGACGCCGCTCTCTGTGCAGACCTTGTCCACAAAGCGGTTGATGAATCGCACCACGTAGTTGGCCACGTCGGAGCTCTCGGCCTCCTCGAAGCCACTCTCCGTGTCATAGCTGTCAGCCACGCTGCCGGCAATACTGGCGAGGAGGCGACAGGCGTGAGCTCCGCGTGGCTCCGGGCTGCCCCGCTCCCTCCCCGCCTGCCGCTGGCCCCTGCACGTCCGCTTGCTCACCCGGGGGGGGCCCACTCCTCCCCACGCAGGGGGCCGCTGACCCAGAACTGGGCTGTGGAGCTGGCAGCTCTCCGCCCCCACTAGCTGGAGGGACTGGAGCCTGCTACCCCTCACCCCAGGCAGACTTCCCCTGGGGGAGCCCAGAGAACCTGCAGGGCGGTTTCAACGGAACCACCAAAGCCCAGCACCAGATCGCAGGAGGAAGAAAACCCTGCCGGGGGGCTTATCTTGTGGTTCAGTGGGAGGGGCCCAAAGGCAAGAGGCAGGACGTATGCAGCCTCCCCTCCCAGTCCAGAGAGCATCGCTTCCGAAGATGCTCCCGTGGAGGCGGGCTGAGAGAGCCCACAGCCAGCTCAGGCGGGCACTGGCGGAAACACCCCCACCCCGTGTACCCGGCACCCCCTGGCAACCCACCTGTTGGTGATGAAGCTGTTGCTGACGCTCTCGGCATCGGCCAGGCCCGAGCCCCGCAGCAGCCGACTCTTGCTGGTGTCCAGGGGCAGCAACAGGTAGCTCATGCGGTTGGCGTAATGGATGGCCTGGCTGAAGACCGTGCTCTCCTCCTTCTGGATCAGCTCTTGCTGCTTCTCGCGGCTGAGGGTCGGCCAGTGGCAGCACTGCTCCGCCGCGATCTCCAGCGCCGACTGCTCCTTCTGCCGTTAGGTCAGAGAACAGGACCAACCTCGGTCTGCAGCCAGAACAGGGTGGGCGGCCCACTCTGAGCTGGGCAGGCCACACCTCACCAGGGTCCCTGCCCAGCCCCTTACCTTCTGCACGCCATCCTCCGCCGTGCCCTCCAGGTACAGAGCCCGGATGTGGTTCTGCACGTCACAGTAGAACATGGCTTCCCAGAACTGGATATTGGTCCACACCAGGTGCTCCTGCACGCAGCTGTAGGCAAACTGTGTGATCCCTGGGCTGAGTTTCTGGGGTTAGGGTGGAAGCAAGCAGAAGGCCTTGTGCTATAACAGGACGCAGCA